TGGCTAGAAAGATATAATTATTGCTTTCCACTTAGCAAATCCAGATAAACCAGAACCGCCTGTTTAGATAAACTTCAAAAAATCTATTACTCCTGATTCCCCCACTAATACTTATATCAAGCGTACCCCCGAATCGAGGCCAAAACAGATCTAAAAAGCTCCGGCAATTGATTACTACTCCAAAAAAGTTTATTTTAATCTAATAATAGAAATTAGAGTATTTTAGTATTATTTTGTTTTCTAAAAGGTTAATTAATATTACAATTATAGATTGATCGTTTTGAGCGAGGGGTACTGTTACGGTGCCAACTATATGATCTGTAGTTGCCTTTATGTTTTAGGTATATATACTAGTGCGCCCTATTTCCTATAAGTAGGGCTTTACTCTTCCATAGCTCTTCTACCCTTATGGTACAATATAAGTCTTTACCCGTACCTTGATAATAGTAGTAAATAAAAGAGGTTTAGTTAATGCTTTCGCTTATAATTTGATTTTGTATGTAATGGTTTTCAATAAGTAATTTGAGAGGTAATAATATTTGAAGTTATAGTAAACTTTCTCTTTTCAGTATATTCTCTAAAGATCTTTAGAAAATCTAAAAGCTTAGATTGTTCTTTATATAATTGAAAAAAAAGAGAAAGCTAGTATTATAAGGTCTCTAGTTTTCAAAATAGCTTTTTTAGATATATTTGAATTGTTTTAGATTCTAGATTGTTTATTTTGATTACTAAGGGGTATTGTAGGATCTTGTTTTTTATTCTGATTGAATATATAGGTAGTATTGATTATATCTTAAATAATAAAAAAATTACTAAATAAATTAAACTCTTTAATTCTTTTTTTAGAATTGATTAGCTGGTTGGTTAATAGAATAGAGCTAGAGATTTCGAATTAAGGGTTTTCAGAAAATAAGGAAAAGCTTGAAGGTATTAGAATATTTAGAATAATAATAGAATAAGTATTTAGTATAATAGAGGTTTCAGAAAAAGCCTCCATTATAATTATATTCTTAAGTATTGATGAATTGTTAAGAGAGCTTATATTAAAAATCTTATTCTTATTCTGATAATTCAAAATGAGAAAATTTTATGCGAATTTTTGTGTATGTTTTGTATTCAGAGTACTGATAACAATAGTATAATAATTACTAATTAGAATTACTGAGGGACAATTGCAATCAATTTGGTTTAATAACTATAATCTAAATCAATCGCGAACGAGTTGTATATCGAAGAAAAAGTTTCCTTCGAAATTTGTTGTGTGAGCGTCAACACTTCGCGACGCTGAGCGCCTGTAGCTTGCACCGGGATCACGGTCTCAGTTGAGAAAAATGTAGTGGCTGTTGGCTTGGAAAACAGACCGAGATCCTCAAGTAATGATGATGCGAAGACAGAAGCACAACTGAAGACTTGAACATCTTGAGTTGTTTCGACTTGAGTACAGTCTTCGAAGATGGCACTATTGACGACTGATATCTCTGATTCAAAGCGATTTTTGCGGTGCAATGATGATTGTGAGATGGAAGTTGAAGTTGAAGTAACGCGTCTTGTGATCGACTCATCTTTGTCGGTGATAATGGTTGTGAATGTGGTTTCAATGGTTCGGATTTGTGGTAGAGCATTTACGGCCGAATGGCAAATGGCAAAGAGAGAAAAAAGGGGGCGAGAAAGGTGCATATTGAATAGAAGCAATCTGCTGACTTGAAACCTGTTTGTTGAACGGTGAGAAAGTTGTGAACTTGTGTAGCTGTTTATGCTTCAATCGAAGTACAGAAGATGAGATAATGAGTCTGAGTCTGGGAATTATATACTTGATTTTTTGAGGTGCATTACCAACATATTATTAGAAATGATCTAAACAAAGATTGATTAATTGTTAGTATCTCGTTTGGCCTCAGCCTATTGTCGTAGTTTGGAACTTGAGACTGATTCAATAAGCCACTACATATGTCATTTTTCGCAATTTGAACCACCAGTACGCAACTTACATGCACGGAATGCGATGCACGTAAAAATATCTTAAACATCGTTCCAGGTTATTTTAGATCTAGAACTAAGACCAGTATAACCAGAGAAAAGAAGTCGAGAACACTCATTCGTGGCAGTGCCGACGTTATTTTTAAATCTTTCATTGTGCCGCAACATTGATTGATTGATTGATTTCATTTACGTCCACGTTCAGTCTAAGACTATATAGGACGGCTAGGCCTCTAGAGGCTCTAGCAGGTAACTTTTTATTCTACAAAGATGGATATATTCGATTTAGGGAAGTGAAAACAAATGTTGGGGACCAGTGCCCGCTTATTATACGCATTATTGTGCCGCAACATGGACATTTATAACAGTTGAACTTTGCATGGTGGATGGAACCAATTTCTTAAAGGGGAGCATAAAGATTTCTTCAGCACGTAACTATGATCACTTAAAGTGTATTTTTTGTTTTGCTTTGAGGTCAATTCCAAATTCGCAGTTTTGCCGATGAGTTGGTTGTGAATGCTACTTTCTAAATATAGACTCAACCGGTTGGGGCATGCAGTTGTCTGATTGAAGAGAAAGCCATTGAGGAACATCAAAGTATGAATGAAAGGCAGAGATATAAAGAGTGATCAGAAGGTGCCCTTAAGACACATATAACGGGCGACTTGGGTTTTCTCTACAGTACATGCAAAACCATTGAAACCCCCGAAAATCCGAAACCGCGAAATGGGGAAATGTCTCCAGACACGAAAGGACATATTGCAATACCATCTAAAACCATTACTAACTTCGATCAAATATCGCCAAACCAAAAATCTAGCCAGTCGTTGCCCCATCAAAACGGTATCAAAATGGTGGCAGTGCTTGAGGATTGAGAACTGTCGCTGACAGAGTCGATATAAAAAGCATGTTGTTATTGTGCCATTCAGACTTGAACTAAAGAGGTATAGATATAGTTTGAGATACGCCAAAAATGTAGCAGACATGAGTTTGATGATCTGCGACATGATCTAGACGTAATCAAGGTGAGAGATCTTTTTCATTTCTCGAGGCTATGTTGACCTTGAGCTTGTATGTACCACACTACCAGCAACTGTTTGTTGATATTTTCCTCCATCTGTTTCGTTTGATTGAGACAATACAGTGAGATAAATGCACCAGACAGGCGCAGTGGCTAGAAGCTCACTTCAAAATTAACGTCATGTTAACAATCTGGGTTCTCAACTTTCATACAGCTGAAAGACTTCAACTCTGGAGAATTTGCACCACCAGCAACTCGATTACAACATGGAATCTCATTTTGTGCCTCCTAGAGACAGTCTGAGTTTTGAATTGAAGGATTCCAGTGCTCATGGCATGCTATGTTGTAAAATCGTACTTAATAGTTCGAAGTCTTAGTCCAACAATGGAACTATCCATTCGTAGATAGAGCACAGATAACTATGCCAATAGACATACTTCGCGTCGACGGAGCATGTGGCTTGGAGTACACTAATAATATTAAGTCCTAGAGAGCAGCAGGAACAGATGATGACTGGCACAGAATGGTGCAAAGCAAGGACTCGATATTTTGAGTATTAATTCTCTCGTAAAATAACAATTTTGTGAAGGAAAACCAATAATATATGATAAGCACGGGTTGGGCCATATTTGAACTAGTGTTATCACGAGATTTGTAATGATTAAGCCTTATGTAACGTCTGGGCTCTCTTAAACACACGCGTAAACATCAACCCATTGAGTCAACAATTTCGTGAGAAAATCCAATCATCAATTCTGTTCACGACAACCCTCTAATAATGACTTATTGAAGTCATACCAAAACAATTCCAACATAATGGGGTACAGATTATGCAAGTTCATCCTGAGCGCAGAGGAGAAATCACGTAAAACAGGGGAAAGGGATGAGTTATCCTGGTGATCCAGACAACTTTAATTTTCGCCAAGATATGGGCAGTTCAAAGCCTCTATTTTCCTGAACCATCAGTGAGGACCAAAGGATCAAGTTTCTGGTCCGTCCAGCTTCCGCGCCTTAAGGTTAACCATCTGCAAAGGGAAGCTTAATATGACATTGCAGTGTACGCTAACCGTTGGGACCTAATCCATCATAGGAAGATTGGTTACAACAAGCCGCGAAGTATTCGCGCTTACAAAGATATATCTTTCGAATTTTGATGAGGACTTCAAGTAAAAGTACTATCTCACAAAAAATTAGTCGTACTTTCCCTAGGTCGACAGTAGTCGAATCCAATAATCTATAGCTCCTGAAGATTGTGCGCGTTTGCGTGTGTAAACGCCAGGAGTCGATGGTAGGTGCGATTGTTCCAGGCAGAAATATTTCAAAAATACTTGCTGCTAATTTGAAAGATGCTTGGTGGTCACTGTATGGGTCTCATTCATGCGCAATTCTTCATCTTGGCACGGTATCTTTCTGTCCTGATAGATTGCTGTTTTTATGAAGTCTCGCTTCAACTCTCCACTACAGCCGGAAGAAATGATCGTGATTTGAAGCAAGTTTTTTCATCTCCGAGATATATTTTCGGGGTCCTTCTCGGCACGTCCATCGCTAGCATTACGTTCGATGAAAGCAGCCTTCGGAATTCTAGGTCCCTTTGCCGTTCTGCAATGTGTACCGATATGGATTAGGTACTCTGCGATGAGTGGTAGCAACAAAACTTAGGGGCGGCCGAAAGAAGAGTTGGCTGGCTGGCCTCACAAAGTCTATTCCGAAGTGCTCCTACCGAGCAGGTAGGTCGCCTAAGCCTCTGTCATCGTAGGCAGAAAAACAATGAGAACGATAAAACCTAAGCTTTGATGAGCTAAAGTTAATTCGTACATCATCACTCTCTTTATCAATTAATCGTATTATCAAGTCACAACAACCGTTCTCCAATTCTGTCCCTTGTCTATTTTCGCAAACAAAATACATATACGTACTGAGGTTTTTTTGTCAGACCGCAGGTCACCATCCCTTTTCTTTCGTTGTCATGTGTTATACATCCAGACCCTTCTCCCTCATATATATGACTGTTCTTGTCGCGTTGTCTATCACTTTCTTTTCTAGCACGGTCTATACCCTCCCCGCAATCGATATAGGTCCTCTTGCCAACCCTCAGATTGAGAATACTTTCACCCCAGCCGCAACGCTGAATGGACGTGGCACAAAAGGATATCTAACGTGGGAAAGTGAAGTTGTTGCATATGAAAACTGCTGTCAATACACTGATCAAGAAGGTGAAACTGCTTTTGCAATTAACTTGGCCGGAGTGAGTTGTATTATTCCTGACGAGATTTGTTAGATTAACTTCATTGCTAGTGGGGGGTAACAACGACCCTACACCAAACGTGGTTGAAACTCTTACCCAAGACGATTGCGCACCAGGTTTAGTGAAGAAGATTGAAGAAAATGGTAATTATTCCTTTCTTTCATCATTTATCCTTTCAATCTGTTTGCCCTTTTATGTTTCGCAAATATCTAACGAACAAAACTTCATCTACAGGAGGCACGATTTATGCCAAAACTTGGACGTGTGTACCATCTTATGGTGCACCAGGGGATACCCTATGTTTTGTTTTACTTGAAAAAAGGAGACTACAATACGGTAGCAACGGCGCTTACGGCGCTTTCTCATGACCGCCAGGTTGAATACGCATGGCAGTGTCACGATGTGCATGAAGGAAGGTGTCATGTTCAGCAGGGAAATACCTCATAGTCTGGTTAAGGTTATTAGTTACGAATAATTTGATGGAATTGGGGTGGTTAATGCGCAAAAGACAAACTTAACCTAGGAGCCTAAGGAGGATGACTGTGTTTTACATAGAGTACCTAGGTACTTAGAGTCCCTGGCTGTAAGGTTTCAAGCCCTCGATTCTATCTCCTAGCAAAGAAACGATATTTTATTGAAAGTGATTCTTTGAGCCGCACAATAGGCGGGGTACAATTCATAGATTTAAAAACATATCCTGTGTTCAGGGGCTGACCTGACGATCTCTACTCGTATCCTAAGATTTTGGATGTACCGCAAAAAACCTCTCGGACATATTTAAATCTCAGCAATATCCCCAAAGTATCAAGCGGCTTCAGGCATCTCCTATTTACAGGGGAGATTGAGATGAGTTGTGATGAGTGAGCGGAAGAAAAACCATACCCTGATAGTAGACAGAAAGACAGTACAGCTGACCGGAAAACTTATGAAATGCACACACCAACTCATGCGTTCATATTCATCAGATATGCTAAATGCTCTCACCAGATGATAATAGGTTCCTACATCTTTCTAGCCAAGCATCCGAAAGGATATAGAAGACGTTCGAATAAGAATCAGAGAACCTGATCAGCAGAGTAACCACGGATATCTCTCAGAAACTCGTTGAGCAATGAGAGAACTCTACTTCCGCGGACAACACAACAAATCCACATTTTGAAATGCAACGAATTGTGCGCGCCGGAAATTCGTTGACTACCGTGGCTATATCCTATCGTATATCCGAAAGCTGCTGAGGGATATCCGGTTTACAACATTGCAACTCACTACTTAATTCGAGTTTAATCCTCTCAATTGCATTATTCAAAAGAACAAACATATCAATCGAGTTCTTTCCATCATTGCTTCAGCACCAAAACTTTATCCACTTCTTGAACAAGAATCTTCCGCCTGCGGAATTATCTTCACCATGGCTCCAATCAATTTGGCGTTTCTCATGGTACCCTATCAAACAATCGACGCTGCTATGCCTCTGGATGTTCTGAGCTCATGTGTAAGTCAAATGATATTGAAATAGTCTAGATTGCCGGCTTTGAATTAATGCTATACGTAGTCCAAATCAATGATGAAAGCTTGCCAATCTCCCGAGGCTCCGGAAATTGATCGCTTGCTACCTCACGCAATTGATATCAATTTCTTTCATATCAATGAAACCTTGTAAGATATCTAATGTTATAAATTCAGAGCATAATCTAAGATCAGACATAGGAACCAGTTGAGCTCACCGCTGGATTCAAAGTGGTACCGACGACCACCATCAAAGATTGTCCACCACTCGATTATCTCCTCGTTGGTGGCCCGATACCAACCTACCAACTCTCTGAATCTTTCAAAAGCTTTATCCGTGCCCATGTTGAAGCAGGCAAGGGCCTTTTCACTATATGTACTGGTGCCATAACTGTTGCTCAGACGGGAATATTGGATGGAAATATAAGGATTCATAATAAGTCCACTAAATCACTTATTAATATCTTACTAAATAAGGGATATCTTGATGACTAATACACATATAATATGATCTTATATTATAAAATCATATTATATATAGTTGTATAATAATTATCTCTTATTAAATTGATTTATAATGGAATAGAAATAAAATAAAACTAAATGGAAGTATATAGGAAATATCACTAAATTGATTATTATACTTTCTTTTTATTATCTAAAATGATTCTATAAGATACAATTTAAATCAATCTTATTTATAAGCATAGAATATACTGGAATTTCATTATAAACTATATAAACCTAAAATATTCTTTAAAGAAAATCTAGGAAAAAGCAAGCAATTCATTTCAATTCAGCTTAGTTTTTTTAAATTAACTTCAATTCAACTCTTATTCTATATATTCGATTTATTCCTTAAGCTTAAACTAACTAGATCTTTCATTATTATTATAATAATATTATTTCTTATTATTATAAAAGCTAACCTTCAAGAAATTATAAGCCCAGCTAGTCTAAATTAGCTTAAAAAGAGAATTAGTTTGATTTAAGGCTGTATATTATATATATACCGTTATTGAGCTATCGAATATCGAATTTTCAAATCAATTTAATTGAATTCATATCGAAAAACACTATATATAGACTCTGAGGCCTGTGTTCCTGAAGCTAAATCTAATTGAGTATATAAAATTAGGTCCCTAAACGATATATTTATACTATATTGTTATTCATAGCGGGTGATATATCAATATTCTTTATACCAAAATGCCCTAGCTTATTTAGTCTTTATTTTATATCAAATAAAATAAAGATCTAATTTAAGAGGTGGCTGGTCTATTCGATTCTCGAGGACTAAAATCGATTTTAAATCAATTTATTCATCTGATCCATTCAAGCCCTAAAACTAGCTAAATATTTAAACTAGTATTTAATTAGTATATAAAACCAATTAGTCTATAAAGAACTTAAAATAGCTTCTGGTATTAATTTTAAATCTAATCCTCTAAAAAACAGATCTAATTATATTGAATAGATTAACCAAACTAAGCTCTTTCTGGAAATAAATGGCTTTATGCCATATATTGACGGTATAGAAATTCCACCCAATAAAAGTCTATATATAAATAAATCAGAAAAGCCTATTTCACCTGAATTAGCTATAAAATATAATGAAAGACTTTCAGAATATCAGAAAAATAAAAGAAAGGTATTAGAAACTATTAAATCTATAATTAGCTTCGAATTAATTAAAAGATTCAAAAATAAAATTTTGGCTAAAAGTCTATAGAACTCTATTAATAAAATATTTGGAGAGTTTTTCATCGAATTAATAAGAAAATACCTAAATAAACTAATAGAATCTAATTATACTAGCTTAAAAGGAATGGACAAATATACTAATTCGATCCAATCATTATATAATTACCTAAAATCAATAAATTTCGACATTCCGGATACCTTTATAGTATAGTTTCTTTTTAAAGGCCTACCTAGCTCTTTTAACAGCTTTACCTCTCGAAAATACAAAGAACTAGTTAAAAATATGGTTAGTATTAATCTGAATAAGCTCTTTTCGGAGCTAATATCCGAAGAGGCTAGAATACAATCTAATATTAACCTAAATACTAATAAAACAAACTTTAATAAAGCTCCCTATTATAAGCATTACTATAAAAAGGGATATTTAGAATCAAAATACTTTATAAAATATTCTAAATTAAAGACCAATAAAGGGAATAATAAAAAGCATTTTAAATTGAATTCAAATAAAAATTTAAATAAAAATTCAAATAAAGATTCGAATAAATCTATTTCTAGTAAGTAACTAATAGCTATAGATTATTATATAGACTTAACTAATCAATCTCTAGATTTAAATATAAATTTATATTAAATTCGGATACTATAGAGCATTATTCATTTAATAGGAAATGGTTTTATAAATTATAAGTTATTAAATAATCATTCCATTACTATAACTAATAGGGAGAAGCTTTATATTAATGATATAAAAGATATTTCTATTCTAATTAATAATAAATTAAAGGTGCTATTACAGAGAATATATTATATTCCCAATATAGCCTCCAATCTTATCAGTTCGAATAAAATAGCCTAAAAGGATGAGCTAGTCATATTATTCCCCCAGGAAATAAAATCGATATTATTTATAAAGAGGTTAATATATAAATTACAGCTCCCTAACTAATTAATGTATATTATCTTAATTTAAGATAGATTTGAAATATCTTAAAAGCATTAATACCCTTAAAATAGAAGAGAAATCAATTTAAAAATCGAATTTATTATTAAATAAAGTTGATCTCAATTTAATCCATAAGAGATTAGGTTATATAAATAAGGATTATATTATTAAATCCTTGAATATCCAATTAGATATAGCTAAATCTGATTTAAAGACATATAAATTATGCAAATTCAGCAAATTCCATTAGAAAATAAGCAAGGAACCTTTTGAAATCCTTGAAATAAGTTCTAAATTCGAAAAATTCAGTTTAGATATAGCTAAACCCTTTAGAACTATAGGAATTAAAGATAAAAAATACTTTCTAGTATTTATAGATTGGGCTATTAGAGCTATTTGGGTATATCCCATTAAATTCAAATCCCAGGCCTATAATATTCTAATAGAATTCTACAATCTAATTAGAAATCAGTTTAATATTAATATTAAAATATTAAGATTAGATAATATTCTTGAATTCCTTTTAAATAAATGATTGGATTTTATTCGAAATCATAGGATTATATACAAATATATTAGTTTGTATACTTATTCCCAAAATGGAATAGTCGAGATACTAAACAGATATATAGTCGAAAAACTAATCTATTTAATTAAAGAGAAAGAGATTCCATTCTACTTATGGTTATATTTAGTTAAAGCTATTGCTTATATCAAAAATAGAATATATAATAGTTTTATTAATAATTTATTATTCGAATTAATATATAATAAGAAGCCCGATCTAAGCTATATTAGAATCCTAGGCTCTCTTACTTATATTATTAATAATAAAGAAATTTGTAATGGAAAAACTGAATTCTAAAGCTTGAAAAGGTATATTAGTAGGCTTTGATTCGTCTAATAATTATTTGGTCTATATTTCAGCCAATAAGAGAGTGATTAGCTCGAGAGATATTGATATTCAAGAAGATCTTATATATTCTAATAAATATAAAAAATCAAGATCTAAAGCTATTGAAAGAAGAAAACCTCGAATTTCAATTTATTCAAGATAATATAGAAGATGAAGACATTACTAGCATTAATAGATATCAAGCTAATTCCGAAATGGATAAAAACAACAAAAGTAATAGAACAATCGATTATATAAAGATCGATCCCGGTAAGTCTACGCCTGGTGAATCTATGCTTGATGAGCTAATAGAATCTAATATACGGTAATCTAAGTGTATAAGAGGTCTAATTCCTGATAATAAAGGTTTTACTGATAATAGAAAACATGTGATTTCCTATTATGAACTTGCTTTTTCCGGGTATTTTAATTCAATCAATAAAAGGGTAAATATCGAAATAGATTAATAAGATCTTTAATTAGCTTTCAATATTAGGTTTAAAATAATAAAAAGATTATTATTAATAAGCCAGATTGTATATTGATTGAACCTAAATTCTATAAAAAAGCTATTAGCTCTTTGAAAAGAAATACTAACTGAAAGCTATAGAATATGAGATAAATACTCTTGAATCCAATAGAACTTAGAATATTGTTAATAATCCCAATAATAATAAAACCTTAAGGACTAGATGGGTATATAAAATAAAAGATTCAGATGAATTTATTGAATTCAAAGCTAGATTCATTGCTAAAGAATTCGAATAGTTATATAAATTAGACTATATTAATATGCATATATCAATAATTAAATCAATGGTATAAAAAGCTTTTATTTGTATTAGCTTTTCAAAACAATTAGCTAATTTATAAAATTGATATGATGCTAGCATTTGCATAAGGCATATCGATTATATTACTCTTATTAAGTCCACCAAAGGATTTAGCGAATTAAAGAATAAAGTTTTAAAGCTAATAAAGTTTTATATAACTAAAACAATCGGCCAGGATATGGTATTATATCCTAAAAGATATATTAAATAAATTAGGCTTATAAACCTAATCTCCAAAAAAATGCATTTTTATTAATAAAAATAAGAATATGATTCTAAGTGTATACATCACGATATTGCTATCATAACCCCAAATCAAAAGATTATTATAAATTTATTAATAATCTAAAGAAATATTTCAATCTAAAAGATCTAAATCCTATAAAAAAACTATCTAAGCATTCAAATCGAAAGGACTAGTAATACACTAAAACTACATCAATCAGAGTATATTAAAAAGATACTGACTAGATTCAATATGCTAGATTCCAATCCTGTTTCCACTTCAATAAACCCGAAAATAAAGCTAATTCATAATAAAGAGAAAGCTAATAATAATAATATTAATTATATCAAGAAATTATAGGCTCTTTATTATATTTAGCTTTTGGAATTAGACTAGATATAATATTTTTTATATTTAAATTAGCTAGTTTCTTATCCAATTCTAGTGCAAAATATATTCAAGCTATTAAAAGAATATTGAAATACTTGAAAGGAATTATAAATAAGAATACAAATTATAATAAAATTAAAAACCCTTATATTCAAGGATTCTGTGATGCTGATTATAAAGAAGAGATTAATATGTATAAATCCACTAGCGAATATGTATTTATACTAGGAAATAGGCCTATTAATTGGAAATCTAAACTATAGTCAATAGTAGCTCTTTCTACAGCCGAATCTGAATTTATTGCTATAAATCTAATTGCTAAAAGACTATTTATATTAAAAAGCTATTATTAGAGCTTAATCTATATAAGCAAAATAATTTCCTCTATATACAGATAATCAGGCCGCACTAGCGCTTGCTAAGAACCCTATATTCCACGAAAGAAACAAGTATATAGTAATCAGATTCTATTATATTAAAGATATTATTAAATCAGGGGATTTAGACCTAATTTATATATCTACTAATAAACAGAAAGCTAATGGGCTTACTAAAC